CCACCTCCACTCAGCCCCACCCCACCCTAAATGGGTTCCAGAAGGAGCAAAGACTGGGTGGGGCAGAGGCAGGGCCTACTCAGAAAGGAAAAGGGGAGCAAAGAAAAGCAAGGCCTGACCATCGAGTAAGGGGTGAGATACTAACAGATCCAAGGCAGAGTTCATTCTGGATCAATTCCTTCAATTCCTTCTTGCTCAAAGTGTTCTTGTCACCCTCCCTGCCTGAATATTTGTGGAAGATGCCGATAAGAGTACAAATAGCTTCATCCAGCAAGGACGCCATAGCTGCCAGGTAGACCTGAGGGAGCTGGGAACCAGAAAGAAAGAGAGGAATGGGTGGGGGAGGGAGAAGGAACCAAAGAATTGTTGTTCACAGGGCCCCAGGCCAAGGGGATGGGCCTTTCTCTTTCAGTCACCAGACACCAACCACAATCCTGGATTTAAACTCTGTGAGAAGATGAGAAGTCCAAAGGGCTGGGCACAGCCTAGGTAAGTGGGATTTTTAGCAGTCTCAATCAGATTGGGTGGACAGGGAGAAGAGAGTCCCAGGCAACAGGCTGAGCTACTCCTTCATCCTTAGTAAATGGGGGCATGGATTTGACCACAGGGCCAGGTTCTGGGAAGCTAGGTGAGTCCAAGAGAAGAGAAAAAGGAGTCAGACCAAGGAACTTCCAAATTCACAGCCAGTTCACACACTCCTAGATTGTTAAAGGTCTAAGGGATTTTTCCCTTAGAGGTTTCCTTTAGAGAGCATCAGGTACAATTCTCACATTTTACAGACTGAGAAACTGCAGTGACTCCTCCAAGGTCACACAATTAATTTGTGGCAGAGTGAGGTGTCACACCCAGGTCTCCTGATTCCCAAGTGCCGTTTTTCTTCCTCTACCACTACATTGCAGTCATGATCCCACCCACACAGTCACACTGCCGAACACACTCATCACCCAGCAAGACACACCCTTACACAGAGCCAGAAAATTACACTCCGGGATCTACCTTAAGAATGCCCTGTGAGTGTCAGTGAGTGTCAGGAGCCACTCTAGCCCATCCCAACACCTGGCACCCTATCCCCTACTCCTTCCGCTCCCCTGAGGCATCAATAGGCAGGGCAGGGATCCCCAAAGAGATGTGACCCCACAACCCGGGAGCTCTCAGCAGCCACTGGAGTACAAAGCTAGGGTGGGGAAGAAATCCACAGTGACCACCCAGGAGGAGAATGAGAGGCCAGGGCAGGGAGAGATCAGGGCATCAACAAAGAGCGGGCTGGGCAGAGTCCCGATGGGAGAGAAAGAACTCACCGAAGGCAGAAGAAAAGCAGAGGCGAAAAGTGGGCGCCTAGGGATGGGATGGGTCACTGTCCAGCCACTCTTATAGTCTGAGTCCCTTGCCGCGGGGCCCCTACCCCCACCCCTTCTGACCCACGGGCGGGCCCTCCGAGGTCCCACCTTCCCCACGCCCCGTCATACTAGTGGAGGGGGAGAGGCCCTCTCCACCACACCACACCCCAGGCCGGGCCTTCGCCTGCCTTCGTAACTATGCTCTTCGCTCCCCTGCCTGCGCCTCCTACCCTAGCATTTCGGGCGCATTCTAGTTCGCACTGTCCTGGGGCAGAAAAGTGGGCTGCACCCAAGAGATCCAGACTGAGCTGGAAGAGCAGAGCTCTCGAGCAGCCTCTCCCTCTTGGGCTCTGGCCAGAGCTCTCAGGCTAGTCTAAAGAACTCGGTTTTTCCACCTGTTAAATGGAGTGAGGAAAATTACCCGTGTTACTTCTTCCCCACCCATCCTGGTGTTACTCTGGATATGGCTACCCTCCACCCCACCACGAGTGCGACTGATGTGACCACTGAGCACAAAGCTTATTAGTTATGGTCGGACGTGTGGTATATGTGCATGGATTTTGGGGTCCTTGCTGTGTGCCCCTTGAAAAGTCTGTGTATGGGTGGATGTGTCTGGAGGAGAGAAAAGAATTCAGGATTTGACAGCCCGCTCAGGTTCAGCCATACCTGCAAGTAGAAGAGCCTCTTGAGGACCTTGGGTGTGACGTGAGATGCTCCAGGGAAAGACCCCAGTCAAAAAAATGAAAAAAAGAAATAAAAAACCCACTTCCTCTGCAGATATTACACCATTAGATTTTTGACCTAAGACTTTGTTCCCTGCCTGATATTCCTAGGAGGAGTAAGATGTTAAGCCTTATTAGACGTTTACCCACAGCTGAGTATGTCAGAACATTTTCTGAAAGCCAGGCTTTTCTTCTTTCTTTCTTTTTTTTTTTGCAGGGGTGGGTGGAGTGGGGTGGAGAATAACAATCATAGCAACAGCAACTAATTTCTACAGTGTTATAAGGTTTGCAGACTATTTTCCACAGAACAAGCCCACCGAGGTAGAAAACTGAATTCATAGAGTAGCTAGCAAGTGTGGAAATGAGAGGGGGAAACAGCCTCAGGAGGACACTGGGCATCTTTGAAGAGGGTCCTAACTGGGGAGGCTGGGGATGGGAGAGGGAGAAACCTGAAGACAAACTCTGACCTCAACAGTTATGTCAAAGGCTAGATAAAAGGTGTGTGTGATGTAATCATAATATAATCATAATCATAATCATAATCATGACAGCATGCCCATTATAATTACAGGAGGCTTTTCCATGGCACGTTTCATTTCAAGGAACTTCATCCTCTGATTCCTCTTCATTTTCCTGTTTCTCTGAAGCTTGGGGCTGCAGAGCTGGAACTGGTCTCCCCATTTCATAGAAGAGGAAAACAGGTTTTCTGTAGTTGGTTTGGTGACTTCCCCTGCTTGGGACTTTTCCAAACAGGAACAGGGACAGGGCAAAGGCAGGAGGAGGCGTGGGGAGAGGTAGGATAAGAACTCAGATGCCCTGATGTCCTTGGGGTATAGTAGAAAGAGAACCAGATTTGAAGCCAGAAGACCCGGGTTTGATTCTCAGCTCTGATACTTACTGTCTAGAAGACCTTGGGCAGGTCGCTTAACCTCGGTAGGCATCAGATCCTTTATTTGTAAAATGGGAATATTGATACTTTGCAATTCAATTCAATAAACACTTATTAAATGCCTACTAGGTACCAGGCACTATGCTAAGCATTCAGGTTAGAAAAAGATGCAAAAGACAGTCCCTGCCCTCAAGGACCTCACAATCTCTACCAATCTCTAAGCTTATTATGAGGCCTCAGTTAGTATCTCATATAAGAGACCTCCTCTGACTCGCACCTACCCTCCCCATAAGTTGTCAGGGCTCTCTCCCTCCTTCAATATCGTTGTATTTACTAATATATGTGTTGTATCCCTCAATAGTATCTAAATTTGTTGAGGACAAGAGACTATATCATTTTTGCTTTCGAATCTTCACTTCCCCAACACGTAGCACAATGCCTTCAACTTGCTTGTATTAACTGTGAACATGTAGCAGGCTCCCTAAGGGCAAAGCATTGTTTCATTTACTAAATGTCTGTTGAACAGAATTGTCATTGAAAGCACTGGTCAATTTAATTCATCACACATCTATTAAGTGATTACCGTGTGTCTCAGCACAGCACTGGGCTTGGGGTTAGGAAGGCCTTCATTCAAATTCAGCCTCAGATGCTGCATAACCCTAGGCAAGTCCCTTAACCTCCCTCAGCCTCAGTTTCTTAATCTGTACAATCAAAGGTCTGGACTTGACCTCTGAAGTGTTTCTCAGTGGGCAGCTACATGGCACAGTAGATAGAGTGTTGGGCCTGGAGTCAGGAAGACTCATCTTCATGAATTAAAATCTGGCTTCAGACACTTCCTAGTTGTGTGACCCTGGGCAAGTCACTTCACCCTGTTTGTCTCCATTTCCTCATCTGTAAAACTGAAGAGCTGAAAAAGGAAATGGTGAACTGCTCCAGTATTTCTGCCAAGAAAACCCTAAATAGGGTCGTGAAGAGTTGAACGCGACTGAACAACAAAAGTGCTTTCTAGCTCTACCATCTATGATCATATGTGCCAAGCACTGTGCTAGGTGTTGGGACATAAAGACAAACAAGAAATGGAAAGTCTTTGACCTCGGAAATTTCTCTTCTACACTATGAATGGTTCAGAGTGGCTATGGGGCTGCAACAGCTCTTGAAGACTGTCTAGTAAGAATCAAAAAGGGTTGCAATCTGCACAGGTAAGGGAAGTACCCACACCTATGAAGGTGAAATTTCAGAACCTTTAAACATTACTGAGGACACCTCCCCCTTCCCCCTCCTCATCCAAGATCTGTACCCTGAGTGCCTACTACCCTCCCTTCAGTCACCCATCAACCCCGAAACACCTTGAAGTGAAAAACTTTTGTTTATTTATCTGCAGGAGGGAGAAAGAAAATGAATTACTTCTAGAAAGGAAGGTTGGAGGTCGAGGGTGGAGTGATCTTGATTCCAGAAGACTGATGAAAAGAAGACTGATGAAAAAACAAACCTCCCTTCCTTGTACAACAGACTCCTCTCACTACAGGTATAGATGGCCTGGCATAGTAGGCACTCAATAAATGATGACTGATTGATAGAATAAGGCGTACATTGTCAGTCCCTACCGATGTGTTGTTTTGCTTTCTTAACTATGTTTCTTTTTTTTAATAGGGAGGATTACATGTAATTGGGGGAAAATAAAGTACTAAATAACTAATTTGAACATTTAATAGGGAGGATTATATGGGGTAAAGAGGGAGAGTCATTGAGAAACGATGGTGGATGAAAAAATGCATTGATAAATATTTTCAAAAAGAATGAGAGCATGAGAGGCAGTATGGTCTAGTCTAGTGGATAGAGAGGGCTGGCTTTGGAGATAGGAAGACCTGGATTCCAATCCTGCTTCTGACATGCTAGCCAACTCTGTGGGCAAGTCACAACCTCTCAAGGCTCTAAACAGCTCTTTATAACTCTAAATTACAGGTAATTTGCAGGTCTCCATTTGGTATATACCCGTAAGATCACAGGTCCAGACCAAAAAAGGAAGGAAGGAAGGGGGGGAGGGAGGGAAAGAGGAAAGGGGGGGAGAAAAAGAGAGAAAGAAAGAAAAAGAAAGAGAGTAGGGCAAGGAAGATTTAAAGTGTACCCTCCAGGGAAACAGTACAGGTCTACTAGCTCTGGGTAAAATAGACCCGGAGGATTTATTAGTCCCATTATCAATAATTGGGGAGGGGTGGAATGGGAATGAAGGTCCTAGTGAGGGGCTATACTGGGAAGGTTAGCCCCCAGGACAGTGGCCTATCATTTATTTATTTATTTTCTTCCAAGAAGAAGTCATTGTAGGCCATACACAGTGTGGTCAGGAACACGGAATACTCCTTGAAGTCAATCTCCTGGTCACTGTTCCGGTCCAGGCTTTTCATCAGTTCATCGATGCCGCTCTCCTGCATTTTCTAAGAGGGGACAGAGAATGATGGTAGAGAGCTTTAGACACCCCACACATATATATATACTCTCTCTTTCTCTCTCTCTCCCTCCATTCCCATCCCCAGGCTCCATGTTTGCCCACAAACATTCATTGTTCAGGGAAGGCAAAACCAACCCAGATTAGAAAAACTAGTCTACCACCCTTTCAAAAAAATAAACTACATTTCACCACCCAACAGAAAGGATCTGTTCTAGAGGCCTAACACTAGAAGAGAGCCGGCTTCTAGAAGAGGCTGTCTAATCCACTTCCTTCCTTTAAACTGAGGCCCAGAGAGTTTAAAAGACTTGCCCTAGTTTACTTAGGTAGTAAGTAGCAGAGCCAGGTTTTGAATTCAAATCCTATGACTCTAAGCTTAGACCTCTTTACACCATGCCTCTGTTTCTACTTTTTCAATGTACATAACTAAATGCTAATAATATCCAGTGTGGGTAGGTTTGAAGGGTCTGGAAACAATACGGTAGAGCTAAGGAAGAGCCCGGGCCACCTCTGTCAGAAGGATGGAGATGATACATCTGCCATCCATTTCCCCAGTACTCCTGGACCACAGAAAAGGTAAGGAGAACACAGCCAGGAGCCTGTAGGGACTGGGAGAGAAGAGAACACATAAATCTTAGGAGTATGGGTCTGGGGCTAGAAAGGATCTCAGAAGCCAACTCCTCATTTTGTTAGGTATGGCCGCTTCGGAGAAGGGGGAAAACACCGTTGTGGGACCAGAAGAGGAGGGAGTGATACAAGAGGATCCCAAAGTAGAATTTTTAAAGGGATCTAGGAGGGATGCTCAAGATGTTCCATGCCACATTACTATTGTCTACACATACACACACACACACACACACTCACATTCACACTGACTCAACTTCCTCCAGGGAACTGTTCCCAGTTTGAAAAAAAAGAAAGACAAAGACAGAGAAGAAGGAAGGGAGGAAGGGAGGAAAGGAGAAAGGAAGGATAGAAGTAACCAACAAAGGAATGAAGGAAGGGAGTAGGACAGGGAAGATTAGAGTGTACTCTGAGTAAAATAGACCGGAAGGATTCGTTAGTCCTGTTACCAAAGAAATTTAATGACTGCCTTATCTCTTATCAAATCAGGCTGTTCAGACTTTCTTCAAGACCTCTTCTAGCCTGGTTCCTCCTCCTCTTCCACTTCATCTCCCTAACTCACCTGAACCTACTCAACCTGTCCCCCTGAATCCCTTCCTCCTCACCCTAGCACTGGTGTATTTGCCTTTTTCTTTCTGTATTTGTGTCTCTTTCTGAGGCCTAGAGTTGTATCCTGTGTCTCCATAAGACAGAGTTTCCAAAAGGTAGCAACAATGTCTCCCCATCAGAGTAGGAGCTCTCTGCAGGCAGGACTGTGTCTCCCTCATCAGATAGAAAGGTCCCGGACTACCCACAGCTATTAGACTGGAAATTCTGTAAGAGCAGAGACTGAGTTTCTCCTCATCAAACTGGGGGATCACTCAAGGCCAGGTCTTATCTCCTCCTCCACCAAATGCATCCCTCTTGGATTCAGGACAAGGGGATGATCAGTCTTGAATCTGGTTGGAATAGAGGTTTGTAGACCACCTGAGTAATGGATGGTAGGAGAATAAAGTACTACCTGTGTGAGATGAGAGAACACTTACCTCTCCCAAGCATAGCTCCTTCTTGATCAGCTCCTTCAATTCTCTCCTGCTCAGGGTCAATTTGCTACCCTCCCTTCCCGAATATTTGTGGAAAGTGGTGACCATGGTGGTTAGGGCCTTCTCAAGAGGAGTCTCCATTCCAGCAAGACTTTCAGATCTGGAGAACAAAGAAGAAAAAGAAGGGAGTAAAGAATGCTATTCTAAGGGATTTAAGGGAAACCCCAAGAGGAAACTTCTTCCAGATTCATACACACACACACACACACACACACACAAATGGATTCAGTTATAAAAGGATGGATTGAAGCAAGACATAAGACAGAACTCCCCAGTTTCTATGGCTATGAAAAAATGGAACTGATTGGCACAGGATCATGCAGTCTCACCTCTAGGATACATGCGAGGGGGTGGGGGAAGGGAAGAACCTGGGGATGGTCTCAAGCAGAGAAGAAAGGATGGACAGTTTTAGTATAAAGAGGAGAATAAGGGAATAAGGGCATGACCATTCCCTCTCTGCCCCATCCAGTGCAAGAGGTGAGTTACTCAGGAGTCACCTCCCATCTATGCCCAGGTCTCTGATTCATCAACCAAGAAGTCTGCAAAGAGTGGATTGGGGGAGGGGGGGGCAAGGTATGAAGAAAGTCCTAACGATACTGAACCATGAGCGCAAAAGCAGCAGGAATGAAGGGAGAGAGAGTAATAGGGAGGAGGTAGGGGAGAGGTGGTCAGACCTTACAAACTGGTCTCTCATCTCTGACACAGAAAGCTAGAAGAAAGTGGGCTGATAAAGAGAGGAATGGTAGAGGAGGGGAAAAGAGTCAGAGATAAGAGGGATAGGAGGGGAGGAGAGAGAGATACCTTTCCTTAACCCATTTAATCATTCAATAAGTATTTTTTAAAAACCTACTAAGTGCAGAGGCAGTTTACCATGACAAATAGGGAGCCAGCCTTAGAATCAGGAACATCTGCTTCTAGCACATATAAGCCCTGTATAAGTCAATTTCGTAATATTCCCTAGGTAAGCCTCTAAACCTTAGGAGTTCTTAACCTGGAATCTGTGAACTTCTTTTTTTCCTTTTTTTTTTTCAGTCAATTAAGTAACTTGCCCAGGGTCACACAGCTAGTGAGTGTCTAAGGCCAAATTTGAACTCAGGTCCTCCTGACTCCAGGCTGGTGCTCGATCCACTGTGTCACCTAGCTGTCCCACCCCTGGTGAACTTATTTTTTAAAATTATTTTGTTAACTCTATCTCAATGTAACTAGTCTCCTTTCTAATCTTATGTAGTTGATTTTGTGCATTTAACAATGTTATTCTGAGAAAAGATCCGTAGACCATCAGACTGCTGCCAAAGGGGGCCAGGACGCAAAAAAAGGTTAAGAATTCCTGCTCTAAGACTACAATTCACAGAGAAATTGCTGATTTGCTTATTGAAGGGAGTTGTTCTTCATACAGATGAAATCACAGGCCCAGATCAAAAAACAAACAGGCAAAAAGTATGCAGAGCTCTGTGCTATGCCGATGCTGGGGGAGATACAAAGGCTATGAAAGACGAGGGGAGGTAAGACAGAGTCCCTCACCTTTTCCTGAGATGCTTCCCCCTCCATTGTGTCCCATGACCTAGCAAGAGCCTATGACCCAAACAGATAACTAGACTATACAGTGTTATACATAAGCACATCAGAGAGTTGCAAAGCAAAGTACTAGGTAAGGTCTCCAGGGGAAGGTCATTTCCAAGATGGGGAATGGCCTCTCCAGGAGAAGCCTGGAGGCGAGGCTCCTGATTCCATCACCTTGGGCCAGGGTAGAATCAAAGCAAACCCCAGGGGAAGGAGAAAGCAAAGGGTATGTCTAGTTGCCATGGCTCAGGTTTGAAAATCACTTCCCCTCTGGAGAGGTTAGGGTGGTAACCAAACAGGAACTGAGGTGATTTGATTTCCCCAAAGAAGCTGAGTCGATGAGCTAGAATGGGAGGGCTCTCTGGGGTTACAAGAGGGAGAGTTCCCCCCTAGACTGACAATCCCCAAATGGTCCCTCCTATTTCCAACTTGTGCCTACCTGGCTCCCTCTTCTTCATTTCCTCACCCCCATCACCCCTAAACCTCCCCTTTTCTCCTAAACCCAGATCTATTGCTAATTAGCTGTGTGACCTTAGGCTCCGAAGTCACTTCACTTGTCTGAACCTCAGTGTCTCTGTAAAACTTGGGGGTTTAGCAATGGACTATTCCCATTTTGCAGATGGGGCTCAGAAAAGTAGAAGCTGTTTGCCCAGGGTCATGCGCCTCCTAATCATCGGAGCCTCAAATGATCCCACATCTCTTGACCCCAAATCCAAGCTCTTTTTCCTACTAAGCAGGGTTTGCTGCCTCTAGCCTCCCATCCCCTGAATACCAACCCCTCCATCCTGTAAGTCTCATAGGAAAAAACTCCTGCCCTCCATATAGCCACCCAAACCGAGCTGGGGATGTCAAGTGAAGACTTACCCAAGGAAGCCAAAACAACCAGTGAATCTGAGGAGATGGGAAGAAATAGAGCCCCAGCTTACTCTCTAGCTTTATTACCTCTGCTTAGACTCCAGGGACCTCAGGATGGGAAAGGGCCAATGAGAAGGGGAAGGAGATATGGAAAGGTTCAGGCCTCGACCTCTTGGGAGGAGGAACCAAGGACCCCATGGCTTTTTCTTTGTTTACAAACTGGGTAGAAAGGTAGGCTCAGACTGGCAGGTGCCCTGTCGGGTATTAAACAGAGCTTCTCTCCTGAGTCAGACCCTGGTTGGAATCCTGATGCTGATATTTACTAGTTATGTGACCTTACAGTTCTGTATCTGTGATCCTATGATCTTGTGGCTTCTCTGAGCCTCAGTTTCCCAATCTGCAAAATGAGGATAGTAATATTTGCACCATTTACCAGACAGGATTGTCTCAGAATTATAGAAGCATAGATTTTAGAGCAGAAAGAGACCTCTAAGGACTAACTCTCTCATATTTTGTTGTTGTGGTGGTGGTTCAGTCATCCTTCAATCGTGTTGGACTCTTCCTGACCCAATTTGGGGTTTCCTTGGCAGAGATACTGGAGCAATTTGCCATTTCCTTCTCCAGCCCATTTTACAGATGAGGAAACTGAGGCAAACAGGGTTAAGTGACTTGCCCAGGGTGACACAGCTAGGAAGTGTCTGAACTCACAAAAATGAGTCTTCCTGACTCCAAGCTCAGTGGTTTATCCACTGTGCCCTGAGGCCCACATAGGTGAGGTAACTTGCCAAGGTCACACAGATAGAAAGTCATAAGTCAAGTTTTCTGACTCCAAATCTAGTGCTCTCTAAATCTTAAAGCACAACAGAAATGTGTTATTATCTCCATATCTCCGAAGGACACAAAGAACTTGAAATGAGGCAGGGAATAGGGCTGAGTATAAAGAATGCCTGGTACAGGTCAGAGTGATACATTGAAGGCTGACCATAGAGCTGAAATTTTCTGAAAGATAGGATTTTTTTGGTTTTCTTAGTTTAATTTTTGTTTTTTTCCCTCACCCTACAGTGACTTTATTAAAAGAAATGTCAAATAGGGGTCTTGGTATCAGACATGGGAAGGACATTATAGGGGATAAAGGTAAAGGTAGCGGATAGGAAAAGATTGTCATAAATAAGGGCTGAGTGTCAGGGTGGGAGCCCAAATACCAAACAGGGTTTCAGAATAGTCAGTCATACCTAAAGCTAGGCAGGGTCTCTGGAACAGAGTAATAAGATTTAGGGTGGGGGGCAGCTAGGTGGCGCAGTGGATAGAGCACCAGCCCTGGATTCAGGAGGACCTGAGTTCAAATCAGACCTCAGACCATAACACTTACTTGCTGTGTGACCCTGAGCAAGTCACTTAACCCCATTGCCTAGGCAAAGAAAAAAAAAACGATTTAGGGTGGGGCAAGACTGGAAGAGGAAGAAAAAAAGAGTTTGAATGTTGGAGGTGAGGAGAGAGTGGGCATGAGAAGCATCTATCTTGATTAGTCCCTTGCTCCTCCCTCACCAGTCCTCTCCCCCTCCCCTTGGCCCTTCACTCCCAGGGGTCAGGCACCAGGACTAGAGAGGGAGACCAGGGATTGGTTGCTTGGTGATAGGAGTTTTCAAAGCACAGTTTAGAAACAGAATGATGCAAAAAGGTGGATTGCAGAGGCTGGGAAATGGTTGGCCAAGAGCAGCAGCATCTCTGGTAGAAGAGTGAAGGAAGGAGTAAAGGAGACCAGGCCCATAAATTAGACTACAGGATCATAAGCCTTTATTGTTAAATCCTAAACAGTAAGGGAGGACTCTGGAAAGACATACTAGGGTCACCCATCCTCCCACACTTAAGGTGGGGAGAAAGGGAAAAAATTATAGCAAGGAGAAGGAAGAAATAGCTGAGAGGTCCCCTCAGCAGGCCCCTGACCTTCAAACAAGATAGACCTTAACCTTAACCAAGAGTAAAAGAAAGTAAAACTAAGGCCTCAGCTCCTTTTAACATCCTCCGGTCCCCATTGATGTCCAATGGGCCTCAGGCTTCCTTATTTCTAACCCTAATCCGTCACACAGCAATTAATGACCTTTTGGTTTATAGCCTATAACCATATTGTAGTTATTCCTCAGCTCTTTCCCCATCTCAGCTGACTCCAAACTCAAATTTCCCCATCTCTCCGCCTCTCTGAGCCTCAGTTTCCTCATCTATAAAATGAGGAGGTTGGACCAGACGATCCGTAAGGTCCCTTTGAGCCCTAGTTCCTATGATCCTGTGAGACTCTTCTCTAAACTGTTCCATTGGAAATTCTCCTCTGATCTCTTCTTATCCTCCCCTTCTGACCTCTCAGTTGACCTCCCTCCCTGCTGGCACACAATTCCAGGGTCGGTTTCCAGGCTACAAATCTCATCCCAAGACAATTTTCAGGAATGCTGTTCCACATCCCCTTCTGGTATCACTAGGAACAGCCCTGGCTCATGTCTCTTTCTGCTCTTTCTTTAGACAGAAAAGGGTTAAGCATTTCTATGATTCAGAGCAAATGTTAGAAGAGAAGTAGAGGAAGCAGCAAGGCCAGTGATGCAGGTCAGGAACGAAGTAGATGAAAAATTTTTCTTCCATCCCTCCTTTTCTATCCCAAATGAAAGCCCAAGGACATGCTGGGAAATAGCTATCTTCAGCACACTCTTCCCTCCCCCCACCCCAACCAGGGCTTAGGTTCCCCTTTCTCCTGACTCCCAACATCCACCACCCTCAAGGGCTCCTCAACAACATACCACACCTAGAACCAAGAACAGATGTGATGTTCAGTACCACCCTGAGTTAGAAAAGGGTTCAGGAATATGAGGAGAAGAGGATGCTGGCAACACAGGGGACTCAAGAGGGAAAAAGTTGAATTGAAATCTCTCTCCACATGTCTAATTCACGGTGGTTCTTCAGGACTGTGGTTTTCAATTTTTCTTGTCTTGCCTCTATGCTCTCAAGCTTTTCTACTTGCTCGCTACCCAAAAGTTCTTAGGGGTGTTATGGACAG